GGGGATCGAAATACGGGCGAAAAACAGGGGAAGCGAGCCTCGAGGGAAAAGTTATCCCAGCCCTGCTTGTGATCTATTTGTAGGTTATTAAAGATTACGTTTCCTAGTACAAAACATAAATATAAAAATTTAAGCATGAATGATTTTGCAAGGGCTCAACTTATGAAATATGGCTGGTCGGAAGGTATGAGTAAAAAATATAATGGCATTACACGTTTTGAGAATCCTAAATAATGTGCGTTTCACGCGTTCGGAGTTGTTTCCATGTTCTACTTTACTGTATTTTTAACACTAAACCTATTACTATCAGTCAAATTTACCATCTCCAAACTTTTGTATAACTAACTACCGTTCATTTTTAATTCTTTCTTCAAGTTTATGATTGAAATTATATNCAATAACAAACTGATTATTATCCATGCTTAATAAAGACAATAACTTTATTTAAGTGTCCAGTCATTTTGATTGGTCATGATGGGAACAGATATACAAAAGATGCCAGTTAGATTAATGTTAATTAATGGATTCAAATGACAAATGAACATATATAAAAGTAACTCTGTATGAACTGTAGATTTTAATTTTTATTTATGTAGGTAAAGGTCTAGGTAAACATGAGAGCGGCATTGCACAAGCATTAAAACCAAAGTTAAAATTCGATACTACTGGTGTTGGACACAAGAATGATGATTACAATAATTGGTGGGAAAGTGCATTTAACAAAGCAGCTAATAATATCACAGTCAAGTCTCAAACGAATGGAGTTTTTATATCAGTATCGAAGGGAGATAAAACTGAAAATGTTCCTGAAAATAAATTTGAAGAAACAAAGTCGAAATCTTCAATACATTATGGAAATTTCCTTAAATCATCTGTACTTCTCAATGGCAGCTTAGTGGAAGATCATACTAGTAGACATAAAACAGAAGATAAAGAAGATGTTATTTATACCCCTTTGACAGATGAAGAGTTATTCAAAATATGTGGTGGTAGAACAGCTCATAAAGGTGCTAGGCATGGATTAACACTGAACGGAAAATTAAAAAGGATAGCAAAACAAGAAGAAGCATTGTTAAATACAAACCTATCTTTCAATGTGTTAGAAAAAATAGAAAACAATAATAATAACAATAACATATCTGATGATGAGCATGAAAAAATCACTAATGAACGTGCAGTCTTACCTATAGCTTCTATTGAGGAAATAGCAGAGAGGAAAGTATCGAAAACTACAAAAAGAAAAACAAGAAGAAGTATAAACGATTTAAGCCATAAATTAAATATTCTATGTAATCTAATTGACAGCGATGAAAAGAGTATGAATGAAATAGTAGATGAGGAATCAAAAGGAAAGAATAACGATAGAAGGAAGAAGAAGAAGAAGAGAAAGATTTCTGATAGTGGTGTTAAGATAGAGAAGGACGTATTATTTCCTACGAATCATAAACTAGAGAAAGAAATAAGTAAAAAGGATAGTAAGGAATATCCAAACAGTCAAGATAATACAGAGTACACAAAAACATCGAAGAAGAGGAAGGAACTAAAAGTCAAGAAAAGACAAAATGAATTCAATGAATATCCAGCAAAGAAATTTAAAAAATTGGATAAGAACCATGTAGATTCACTTCCAGTTGAAAACATCGATCTTCTACAATGTAAATTACAAAGAGAGCATATTTTCACAGAGCCTGTAGGATCCCATGAGATCAAGGATTGCCTAACAGAATCACCGTATGCTTATACTGAACAAAAAGCAGATCAATTGAACAAAAAACTGAGAAAGAAGAAACGTGCAAAACGGCTTAGAAAAGAAAGAATTAAGTTAGAAAAAATTACAGAATGTTTAAAAGCCGTTAATTTTAATATTCCAGAACCTAGTATAGAACAGTGTAATAAAAAGAAGCTGAAAGAAGTGTCTGAAAAATTAATTGATACTAGTACTACAATAGATAGAACTGAATGTCTAAAAAAGCGGAGGAAAGATAAAAATAAATCAAAATAATTAAAAAATATGATGTTTATAAAAAGAATTGTATATACGTATTTAATATATCAATTGTTTATGTATATTTACACATGCATTCATGTACCATATATAATGATTTCTAAATATATTATTATTTTTTTATAAATAATATGGTGTAATCTGAAACTTCCTTTTATAGAAAGGGACTGAAGAACATTTCCGTCATAGTTTTGACGGTATCTTTTCCGTCTTGTTACTCGCGATTTATTATTAATGGACACAACTTTTTACAATTTGTAATGAATGTAGATACCTGCTTATGGATTTGTACAGATTTTAATCTATGAGTAAATTTTCGTTACATTTATTAATACTGCATATACTTGTGTACAGGCGATCTAATATTTCTAATGAAATTTTAATAATATTTCCAATGAAATTTTTTTATTACAAATAAAATACGTGTTTAAGTTAAAAAAATATTTTCGTTTTTTTATTTAAGAACAATTAACAAATATATGCACAAGTATATACGATGAACATATAGTTATATGTAGCACCAAATTTCACAGTATGCTAAAAACACTCTAAAGATCAACTTGTCGAGCAATATATTTGTATAAAATAACACAAGTTTTCTAAGGCCATTAGAACCTGTCGAGTTTTCAAATATAGTAATGTTAGTTTTGCGGTAAATAAAAAATAGTGGAAGGGCCGCATCAATTTCTAGAACCATTATTACTTACGCAGTAAACATACTAGTTTACGATATTTTCATAATAATATATCCTTCTACATTTTATATCAATACAAAATTTAAAAAATATAATTATAAACATAATGAATAACTTTACAAATTGTTACTGAAATGAAAATGTATTGCAATTATATTTTACATTCACTCTGTGTATTATTCATGAATAAATAGAGAAGAACTATTGTTTTAAAAAATAATTTTTAAGATAGTAATTTGGTAGGTGACAGTAAATGGGTCTTTTAACTTAGTACAAAGATAAATAAGGCCGGACAGAAACTATTAGAAGACCACAGGTTCAAAATCTCTGGAGTATTATTCAAATTCATATTAATTTATATTTTAAATAATAACCGATTTAAACACTAATCTATATATATTTCATAATAGAATTGACGAGGAATGTATGTACATATCGTATAAAATGTTTCGTCGTTATCATAGTTATCACTAGTATTAATAGATTCGTTACAAAGAATTTAAAAAAAATGCTTATGCTGCTTTAGCATATAGTAAGCTAAATTCAATTCTTATATATATATCATCGATGCTGAAGTATGTAGTTACGACGTCAATCATATGGTACACATTTTCCATGAGATGAAAAGGATGGATGAATTCTTAATAGCCTGAACTAATTTTATTGTATTACACTTTTTTATATAGGTATTGTCGATAATTACAATGCAATAGGCAATAAATATGTAAGAAATATTAATTAATTTAAAAATTATACAGAGTATGTCAATAAGTTTGTCCACATTGAATATTAGTGAATCCGAATATTATCAAGAAAAATGTCTTAAACAAAAATAACTGGATTTAAATAGGGACAGTTAACATATTGATCTTGCCAAGGCCTTAAGTCAGAGTCGTTAAGATTTATACTAATACTAATTAATTTTGTTTTTAATTAGAAACTTCATCATTTATGCCGGATTTCGATTATAATAAGTACTTTTTGTTCCTATGGATTTGACATATTTTCTTTCAAATATCTGACTTGGAGTAAAGTAAATTTGCAAATAACGATTATATTTTTCTAAATCTCAGTGGACAATTGAAGTAGTCTTTAATTAAACATTTTAATCTGCAATTTATCATCATTTATCTACAGTCCTGGTATGAAAAATAAACTTTTTTTAACGAATCAACTATGT